CTCACTACTCACTACTCACTACTCACTACTCACTACTCACTACTCACTACGCACTACGCACTGTCCACTACTCACTACTCACTAATCACTACTCGCCACCCGCTACTCACTACCCACTACTCACTACCCATTACTCATTACGCCCTACTCCCTACTCAGTACTCACTACTCGCTACTCGCTACTCACTACTCACTACTCACTACTCGCCACTCACTACTCACTTATCAATACACACTACTCACTATGCACTACTCGCTACTCCCCACTCCCTACTCCCTACTCCCTACTCGCCACTCACTATCACTACCCAATACTCACTACTCACTACGCACTAACCCACTACTCACTACTCACCACTCCCTACTCCCAACTCCGTACTCCCTACACGAGGGGGGGGGGTCCGACCCCCCCCCCCTTCCCAGCGCCAAGGGGGGGAGGGGGGGGCTCGGGACCCCCACCCCCCCTTCAAGGGAGGGGGGGCGGGGGGGGAGACCCCCCCCCTTAGGGGGGAGGGGGGGGGGTTCTGGACACCCCCCCCCTTCAGTGTATTCAGGGAGATCCACTGGCGCACTTTCGCAATTTCCCGCCCAGGTCCAACCCTGTTCTAGCCAACAGTCTGATCCCGCACCGTGCTGGGAGCTACGCCACTGGGGCCCACTATCCTACGATTTCCCGCCCAGTTCCGACCCTGCTCTAGCGACCTAGTCTGCCCTCCGCACCGTCCTGGGAAATTTGTCATTGGGCCCCCCCGCCTACCATTTTCCGCCAAGATCTGACCCTGTTCCAGCCACCTCGCCCGACCCCCGCGCAGCCCCCGAAGCTGCGTTTCTGTTTCCCCCCACCCACCCGCGCGCTGATTTTTTTGCGTCGGCAGCTCAAACGCGACAGCTCCAACGGAATGGCAACAGGGGACACGCTGCATGCATATTAAGGCCGCAAAGCACGGTGGGGGGAGGAGGAGAAGCCCCGGTGCGACAAGAAGAGAGGATGCCGGGCCAATCAGAACTACCGGCTGCGGCGGGGGGGGCGCCGAGGAAGGGGCAGCGCCGGCGCGGAGCTGCACCGAGCCGCACTGCGCACTGAGCCGAAGCTGGCCGGGGGGGGGCAGCATGGGCACGCAGCGGGCGGCGGACAACACAACGAGGTAGAGCCCGACCCAACGAACCGAAGCACAGTCCAGGGATGGGCCAGCGCGCCGAGACCTGCGGGCCCACAAGGCACGCGCGGGAAGGCGGAAGGTGGAAAGGCCCGAATGGAGCTGCCGACTGCGGCGGGGGGAGCGCCGCAAGCGGGGGCCAGCGCCGGCACGAGGAAGGAGAAGCACAACGCAGCAGAGCCCCAACCCAGTGAACCAAGGCGCGGCCCAAGGATGAGCCGACGCGCCGAGACCCGCGGGCCTACGGGGCGCGGGCAGGGAGGGGCGGGTGATTGGCGACGGCACCGCGCAGCACTGAGCGGCGCAAAGCAGAAGCAGGAGCGGGCCGCCCGCGGAAGGGCGGCGGCGGGGGGGCGGGGGAAGCACGCCAGAGCCCCGACCGGCTGCCGAAGGGAGAGCACCCCGAACGTCGGCAACGGCGGGCGGGGAGCGCCGAGACCAGGAGGACCTGCGAGGCGCAGGCGCGGACGAGAGAGAGAGAGGGAGTGAGATAAAGAGAGAGAGAGAGAGAGACAGCCCGGCGATGCGCAACGGCGCAACAGGCCAGGGCGAGAAGGGGCAGAGCCACGCCGAGCGGGGAAGCGGCGGGCCCAGGGCTTAAGCGGGACGGCAGCCGACGCCACGGCGAGCCCGCCAGCGGCGAGGCGAGGAGGCACGAAGCAAGCGACGCCCAGACCACAGCGGGCGCCGAGGCCCAACAGGGCGAGCGCCGAGTCCAGGCGAAGAAAGGCACGGGCGTGGGGAAAGGCGGCGGCAAGAGGCGGCGAACGCCAGCCGGGGGCGGGTTGACGCGAGAGGGCCCCGCCCGGCGGGGCAGCGGGGGCGAACAGGGTGGGCCCAGAGGCAGCAAGCCAACGGGGCAGAAGCCGACGGCGGCGAGGTGCCACGAGAGCAACAGCGGCCAGACACCGGCAGCCGGCGCTGGGGGTGGTGGCCAGGAAAGCAAGCAGATGGTGGGGGGCACCGGCAGAGTAGCGAGCGTCGCCGGCTGGCGAAGCACGGCGAGGGCCAGCGGGGTGCCACGGGCAGCGCCTGGACTAAACCGGCAGCAGGCCGGCGCCCCGGGCGGCGGGGGGCGGCGGCGGGGCAGGGCACCATAGAAGGCGGACCCAGGCGGCCAGGTCGAGCAGGCGGGTTGCTGAAGCGTGCATCCTGCATGAATCGCGAGTCTCGAGCGATAGCGCGACTCCCAAGTAAAGCGTGAGGCACGGCGTCTGCATACATTGCGAAGAGATCCCACGCGAGAGCACGATTTCTGCAAAAAATGTTAGGAAATCCCGCGCGAGAGCGCGATTTGGGAATCATCTGCGAGGAAGTATCCAGCACAAGCCGTTGTTGATTTTGATGTAAACCAGGGGCCGATAAAACAATTCTGAGACCCAATCCTTTCCCTGATAAAACAAACAAACAAAAAAGTACGCGAGCCCCGGGAAAGGCACCTCAATTGAAAAAGTACAATGTGCCCCGGATGGGGGGATCAACAATCATCGTTCTTTCGAAATGACATTTCATTAACACCAAGCCAGCGACACCACCTGGCACCTGGACACACGGAGTGATAGAGCCCACTTACTCCGTGTATCGAATACACGGAATAACGAGCCCCTATTACTCTGTGTATCCGATACACGGAGCAATAGGCGGCTATTACTTCGTGTATCCGGTACAAAGAGAAAATAGGCCGCTAATACTCCGTGTACCCGATACACGGAATGATAAGCCCCCCTTATTCCGTATACACAGAATAATGGCCGCTACTATTCCATGTATCCGATACACGGAACAATGAGCCCCTATTACTCCGTATTTCGGATCTACGGAGTAATAGGCCCCTGTCACTCCGCACACGTGGCAAAAGGTGCTCATCACCATCGTCATCTGACTGCAGCCTCCTCCTCATCCCGAGCCATCGGCTTCAATGCTGAGCTGCTGGAGGGTACATCTTGAATGTGTGATAAAACAAAAAGTCGGAGCGACTTGCCCCGAGATCTGCGCGGGCCTTCCTGCCGCCGTCACTGCCCTTGCCCGTTTGCCCCTTCCTCTTCTCGCCCCTTCTGGACCGCGTAGCTTTTCTGGGCAAATCTGGAGGCCCTGCAGGGCCCCATCCCGCACTCTTGTGGTAAGTTTGCTCTCGCCACCCGCTGGACATGAGGTCCGCAGCGGCGAGGGTCCGCTTCCAGCGTGGCGGAGTGGACTGGCTGCATCGCGCGGCCAAAAGGTGTTCGCCACCCTCGTCATCGAGTCATCTGATTTCCGCCTCCTCCTCCTCCTCATCCCGAGCCATTGGCTCATTGGTTTCTCAATGCAGAGCTGCTGGCGAACACTTCCTGGCCGTGCTGGGGGGAATCCTGCAGGGCTCGAGGTCCAGGAGAGGGGGAGGGCAGGCACAGTTAGGCCGAGGCACTCCCTGGCGTCGCTGCGGAGCATCAGGAGGTCGGACGAGCGGAGAGAGAGCCTGGGCGGCCCATCTGATGAACACCGCTGGCCTCCCGGCTGATGAGAGGGCACTTCGAAGGAGACCAGGGTTTGCCCTCCCAATCCACTCGCTGCCCATCCATCCCTCCCCCCTTCTGCGGCAACTCCGCCCCTGAACTTCGCCCTCAACTCGTTCCGCCCTCTCACTTGCCCCCTCTCTCGCCGCCCATGAACTCGCCGCCGAACACCTTCAGTGGCAACTCCTGGAAGCCTCCCATGCAACCTTGCTGGCTCTTGCAAATCGACGCTAATCGACGCCAATCGACGCTACATCGACGCTAACCGATACTAATCGACGCTGATCGGCGCTGGATCCTCGCTTTCTCATCGACTACCAGGAGCTAGCGCACGCCGCTAATGCACTCCAAAGACGGATGTTTCACTCGAATGAAGAACCAGCAGCAGAGGGACCCTTCAGCGTGACCCGGGGAACGAAAAGCGTCTCTGACTTTCGGCGACAGCCAGACGGCTTGTGCACCAATCCTCTACTCATGCGTTCATATCGACAAACCTGCTGAATACGACATCGTTGAAATACCTACGGAAGCACAGTGAATGAAGGGCGACAACCAGATCAGAAGAAGGACGGGGATCGCAGAGCAGAGACAAGAGGCAAAAAATACAGGAGCATGTGTCCTAACCTCGCGCGTGCGCAGACCAACCCATTAGGACAGCACCCGCACAATGGGTCCTCGCGAGCAGGTGCGTACACCAACGATGAAGAAAGAAGGAGAGCGAGAGGAGAAGGAGGAGGAGAAGGAGGAGGAGGAGGAGGTGGAGGAAGAAGAACAGGAGAGGAAGCAAACCGAAGCATTCACACAACACCGCTGTGCACAGCGGAGGCAGGCAAGTACAGTGACGAGCTATACACCCCATGCGGGACATAAGCTTCGGTGGCAACTCATGGGAGCCTCCCATACCGTCTTGTCGGCGCTTGCGAATCGACGCTAATCAACGCTAGACGACGTTGATCGATACTGAGTCGACGCTAATCGACGCTAACCAAAGCTAAACCGGCGCCATATCATCGACTCCCAGACGCTGATCGGCGCTAATCGACGCTATCAAAACCGAATCCAGAGGGCACACCAGGCTCCCATGACTTGCTGCCGCATCGGCGAGTGCGGAATCGAAAGACTTGGAAGCAAGGAGTCCGCTGAAACAGGCTGGGCTGGCGGAGCGACGGCGCGAGCCCGGAGCGGGCCCCCGAAGCGGAGAAGTGACCCACGCGCACGGGCGGACGCGTGCACCCCGGCGGCCCTGCTCCGGCACGCAGCGAGGAGCAGCGGAGACGGAACTGCGAGGACAGAGAAGGGTCCCACGAGTTGCTCCCGAACCCCGCCCTCCCCCCCTCCCCCCCTCGAGCTCCTCCTGCCAGAAGAGGGCCTGAAAGCAGCCGCAGCCGCACCAGGTCTTCCTCCGCTGCTGCATCAGCCACCTGAGGAGTCGCTCGTACAGCCACGCCTCCGGCGGGGGATCACGGAGCCCCCTTCAGGGACGGGGGAGGAGAGCGACGAGGCGGAGGAGGGGAGGGGGGTGGGAGGGGAGGGGAGGGGAAGGAGAAGGGAGGGGGGGGGAGGAAGGGGAGAAGGGGGAGGGGGAGAGGGAGGAGGAAGGGGAGGAGGGGAATGAGGCGTAGGGGGAGGAAGAGGGAGGAGGAGGAAGAAGCAGCAGCAAGTCGGAGCTCACCTCGAAGCCGGAGGGCGTAAACAACTGCTCCAGCTAGGGTGAGGCACAGGGGTCGGATGAATGAGAATCGAACTATCGACGCTCACCCCTTCTGGCCCTGTGAAAACGCGTTGGAAACGTGCTGAACCTCAAAACGCACAGCGTGGGCAGGCCTCTCAAAGTATCCAGGATCTGCAAAGTGTTCAAGCATTGAGCACTTACACGACCGAGCCACTGCGCTGCGAATCCCGAGGTAGGCTCCTACGCTTGCACGCAACATGCCCAATTTGAATCCGAGTATCCTGGCATTTCCGATGCCGTGTGTCGCTTGCCTGGCACATCAGATGCTGAGCTAGCTGAAAACTTCCTGACTGCTAACGCGACGAACGGTTGGATTGGAGAAGTCAATCACGGGATGAAGCGCGGCGGCCGATGAACACCACTTCCCGTGGCCTGCATTTTGAGATAGAGCCATCGCGCGCGCTTCGCGCGCGCTCAAGTTCTGACTATCTTGGGCGACAGGGCATAACGCAGAAATAGGCTGCGCCATGATAAGCCAGAACCGAAAGGTCTCGAGGCCGCCGTAAGGTCGTTTTCTTTATGACTTCCGCAGGCACAGCGGCTCATGACGAGCACGGAGGCCTATACCAAATAGCCTCAGAGCTCAGCGATAAGGTCGTCTTGGGTCTTGGGACGTTTGTAAATCCTTGATGGTCTCTCCGAGGGACGTCGTGTTCGTCCTACGGCTCGAAGATTTGAAGATATCTCCAACAAACAACGAATATCACTAACACTATACATATATGTATGTATGTTCTGGGCAGTTTTTGTAATACCTAGGACTTTAAACCATATAGGATTTAAGTACATGATTAATTCATGGATAAATGTATGCATGAACTCATCGTTGTTTTTAATACTAAATCCCAGGATGTTTAATACATGATCCGCACGCGGAGCATGTATTGAAAACGGCACTGTAATTATGTCTATATATATATATATAGAGAGAGAGAGAAGGAGATGCACAAATATGTACATGTGTATATATACACACACATGGGAGTCCTCTTGGCGCACTCTTGCGATGTCTTCGAAGTGAAGAGGCGAGGGGAAACATGGAGGAGCCTCTTGCAACAGTCCTATGTCGTCAAGGGCTCTTCGGGGCCGTGTTGGGCGCTTCCTGGAGCCATCCGCGAGTCATCTTCTTGCGCCGCCGTCTTGGGCTGTCCTGGGCCCTCTTGGACTGCTCTGGACCCCCAGTCCCTCCTTCCGACCGGTCCATTTGGATTCCCTCGTTGACCCCCCCTCCTTGCACGGTTTCCCCCAGGGCCGAAGGCGACCCGAGGAGGAGGAGGAGGAGGAGGAGGAGGCGGAGGAGGACGAGGAGGAGGAGGGGGAGAAGGAGAAGGAGGAGGAGGAGGAGGAGGAGGAGGAGGAGGGGAGGAGGAGGAAGAGGAGGAGGAGGAGGGGAGGGAGGAGGAGGAGGAGGAGGAGGAGGAGGAGGACGGAGGAGGAGGAGGAGGAGGAGGAGGAGGAGGACGGGTCGCCTAAGCCCTTCGGAGAAACCCTCCACCCCTCCTCACGAGCGGCGAGCAAAGCCGCATCCGCGCCCTCGCGGCCTAGACTCTGGGGTGCAACCCCGTGGCGACGCGGCCGCATGGACACGCTCCCCGCGGGGCATCCACGAGATGACGCCCCGCACCCGCGGGGGGGCGCGGCCCCGGGGCTCGCCCCGCGAGGCCGTGGACACGGGCATGTCTTCGTCGTCGTCGCCGACGATATCATTTTGCCCCACGACGCGACCCCCAAAGGTCTGGACCCCTTCCCCGGGACCAGCTCTCGGTCCCGAGTCTCTTCGTTGCCGGTCCGGGAGGAGGGAGGAAGGAGGAGGGAGGAGGGAGGAGGGGGACGCAGGAAAAGGTGGAGGAGGAGTAGGGGGGGTAAGCGGAGGAGGAGGAGGAGGAGGAGGAGGAGGAGGAGGAGGAGGAGGAGGAGGAGGAGGAGGAGGAGGTGGCGTCCAGCTCCTGTCATGCTTGCACGACGAGAGGGCGTCTGGGGCCCACGACGACAATCGCTGCCCTCCGCGACCTCCTGCCCGACTCAAACTTGGAACACGCAGGTCATACATCCCACTGAAAAATCACACTTGATGTTGGGCCCATGAAACACAAAGGCATAAACAAACCAGCAACATCACAGAAAATGCAGTTGTGGATAGCTCTGTAAATGTGAGGGCAAGCATGACAGGATGGCCAAACACTGGTGTGTTTATAGCTTGTGCCATCAGACCACTGACCAACCAGACGACCTTGGTCATTGACCGACTGGGCGTGGGTCAGTGACCTCCTGGCCCTCGAGACTCGGGGCGAGGGGAGGGGGGCGGGGCCTCCTGCAGCATGAAGACCTCGGTCACCACCTCTCGCAGCTCCTCGCGCCCCGCGCCGCCCGGGGGGCAGACCGGCAGGTAGGAGAGGCGAGGGAGCGAGGAGGAGGAGCTAGGAAGAGGGAACAACGAGGGAGGGAGGAAGGAGGAGGGAGCAACGAGGAGGGAGGAGGGGCAGAGGAGGGGAAGGAATGAGGAGGAGGAGGAGGAGGAGGAGGAGGAGGAGGAGGGAGGACGGAGGACGATGGACGACGAGGAGGGAGGAGGAGGACGAGAGGGAAGGGGAGGAAGAGGAGCGAGAGAGGAAGGAAAAGGGGGCGAGGAGGAAGAGGAGGACGAGGAGGAGGGGACGGGAAGTGCCCCGCCCGCCCCGCCCCGACCTCGTTCCGCCCCGCCCCGCCCCCCCCTTCCCCGTCAGACCCTGCTCCGGCACTGCCTCGACCGGCCGCGCCACGACGAGCCGCGCCCTGGCCTGCCCTGCCCCTTGCCCGCGCACGGGTCCTGGCCCCGCCCCGAGCTCGACAGGAAGTGACTCGCTTCCGCCGCTTGGCTTTCGGACACGCGATGGGCCCGCGCGGGCGCAGCAGGAAGAGTGTCTCGGGCTGGCATGTGTCGAATCGTGCCGAGGCCAAGAACACGCACGAAACAGCAGGCTTTCACCACCCAGCTGCCTTTCATCCCGAGCAATCCTTTCGACGAGAGAGGCAGGAGGGAGACAGGAGGAGGGCGGAGGAGCAGCAGCAGAAGGCAGGGGGGGAAGGAGGAGCAAGACAAGGATGGGTGATGATGGAGGGGGAAGAGACGATATGGTGGCGAAGGGATGATGATGAGGACGAGGACGAGGAGAAAGAGGAAGAGGAGGAGGAGGAGGAGGAGCCCCCGGGGAGCCGAGGACGGCCTGTGGAGGCCGAGCGCACAAAAAAATGGCAGGCTCGACGCCCTCGAGCCTCTGGAGGTCTGGCCGCCCCGCTCGAGAGACTCAGCTGGCCTGGAAGGGCCACCCGGGGCACCCCTCCTCCCCTCGCGCCTGGGCGGCCGATCGCCCCCCCCCCGCCCGAAGGCGTGCCCAGGCTGGGCCCTCCGCCTTGGCTTGCACGTCTTCTGGGAGGCACCTGCACGGCACCTCGTGAGCTGACCATCTCTCCAGTTGATTCTGGCATGGCGCACGCGAGGGCGCGCACGCGCTCTTGCGCGGGCCCCCCTTCTCCCCCGCGAGCAGCCGCGCGCGCGCTTCGCGCGCGGCGGGACTCCAGCAGCAGCTCGGGGGGCAGCGCCGCGCGGCACCGCGGAAGCAGCCGTGTCCGAAGCGCGGGCAGCGGCAGCCCAACCAAAGGCTGCACGGCCGTGGCGACAGGTACGACTGGAGCCAGTGCTCGAACCACCGCTGGCGCTTTCTGGCCGCGTGTCCCGCCGCCTGGCGCCATGCTGAAGCACTCCGTCGGCACGTCGAGCGCGCTCAGGTTTTAGCCCATTGTCTTGGAGCGCGGCGCATGGCGCTGCGGAGAGGGCCCGAATCATGAATCATGACAACGGCGGGCTTCGAAGCCATGGCTGCCATGCGGTCTGGGTTCCGGCTCAAGCGGCTTTGGATTCGCGGCTGAAGGCAAGGGGTTCTGGATCGGAAGTAGCCAAAAACCCCTCTGGGCGCCTAATTAGAAGGACTGCCTGGGAGGGTGTCGTGGCCGTCTGGACGAGGTCTGGGGCCGCCTACAAGGTTCTGGGGATCGGGTCGACGCTCCAGGAGGGAGGGGGGGTCTGGAACCCTTCGCGGGGGTGCGGCCCCAAGGTCCCCAAGCTGGGTTCTCGCTTTGTTGTCCACCAACGACCACACAGCGCAAACAAGCAAGCGTAAGGTCCCCCTAGATTGCTCCACGAAGCACGAACCGACTGTCTCTGAAACCGAAGAAGCGAAGAGAAGGGCAGACAAAGGAGGAAGAGGAGAGGAGACGAAAGAGTGAGCAGCGTGGTTGTCAAGAACGGCCGTCGCGCGCGACGGTTGCCTAAAACACCCAGACGAAACCAAAGAGGTAACAAAGCAACGAACACACAAAAACCCATGATGAGGGGGGGAGGAGCAGGAGGTGATGCCGAGCGCGACCGCGAAGTGGATGGGCTATAATGCGACGCGTTCGAAGTGGAAGAAGAAGGAGAAGAAGAAACGATAGCAGAAGTGGAAGCGCCGGAAATCGTCCCGGAGGACGGCCCTATGAGAGCCCAGCGGGAAAGCCGGAGCGCCAGAAGGCTCACGCGCTGCATTTTCCTCCTCCTCCTCCTCCCCCTCCCTTCCCTCCAAAACATCGGGCGCCGATCCAGTGTTGGCAGGGTCCGCCGGCGGGAGCCCAACGCCGACCCACGCCAGAATTGGAAGCTGCCGCGCTCTGCGTTTTGAGACCCCCCCTCCCCCTGACGCTTGGCTGGGGCGGCGGGGCCGGACAGGGGGATGTGTATATAACGGCGGGTGTCGTAAAAACTATATTTTTGTTTACTCCACCATGGAAGGCTCCTGACCAGTTCCCACCACTTCGCGTCGTTGCCGATGGCAGCCACAGCATGGGACGCACAAAGACATACTAGTACTATACGTCCTCCTTGGAGGCGCGCGTTCGACCCGATCATATAGTATACCAATCTTGTAGTATATCGTTTCCCGAGCGTTGTGGCCAGAAAGCGCCCGCCGCGACGCATATACTATAAGATTTCTCGGTGCGCGCGCCGCCCCTGGGGGGGCGACGCACATATAGTATAAGTATGTTGGGGTGTTGCCTACAGCACCCAGAAAAGCACCGACGTCGTCAGCCACAATTTGTGCTGTCCACCGTGTCTGCGAAAGGCTGGGCGTGGGTCGTGCAAGCTTGGATCCCAAGTCCCATACAGTCGTGTCCATGTGTCATGATTGTGGTTGGCGATGCGTGCTGCAAAAATCCATTTTCGTTTGAAGTATACGTCCTTCCAAACGTCCGCGTGAGCGGTAGAAATACTTGTCCGTACGAAATCAACCTGAAATTCAGATCCATCGTCATTGTCTCCATTGTACTGTTGTCGGTGAAACTGTCGGTACTGGAGTCGCTGCCGTTGTTGTCGGCGCTGGTACCATTATTGTTGATGCTGTCGGCGTGTGTTGTCTGTCTGCTCTGTTGTTGGCGTTCCGTCTTCTCGGCGTACCTGGGATACGTCTCAGCATGTTCCGTTGCATTCGTTGTAATGTGAGAAGCATATCCTTGGTGCGTGCCCACGACGAGCAACTGCACAATACGCTTGGCATGCACGTGCCACTGAAGAGCCAGAAACTGCAATGCAGAGAAAACGTATTGTCGTTGAGTCACCCCGAACTTCGCAAAACTTAGACCGTTCCGCGGCGATCTTGCTGGTGAGTTCGTAACCGCGGCTGCCCGAATATGTCGTACGTTGGTCATGTGTGTAATTGTTCTGCCACCCCTCGGACTGACGTCGACGATAATACTTGTCCTAACGGGGTGCAATGAAAGTTCGCAGCATGATGCCTTGCTCTTTATAACACATAACAAGCATGTAAGTAGGCGGAAATTCGGGGCGCAAATCAAAACGTCGTCTGCGAAGCGCAGGTTCGTGATATTTGCTTCTTGAGCGAAGCCGAGTTCCATGACGAAAACTGAGCGTTGCCAACTGGGCGTGGTTGTCGCAGGAACAGCAAAGAGGTGAGTGGAGCTCTCTGGTTCACACCCCACTGCATGGTGAAACTTCGATTGGCGGCGTCAAAGCGGACATTCGCTGTCCGCTCGTTGCACATGTGCTGCATGAAGGTGACGTACGCTTCGGGAATGTGTTGCTGCCGTAAGGCATCCCACAAGTACTTGTGGTCCACGCAGTCGAACGCCTTGTTGAATTCAACTGTTGCTACCCACAGTGGTAGATGCCACCGGTGTGACTGCTCCCGCAATATCGCTGTCGTGAAGAGGAGGGGAGCAGGAAGAGGAGGAGGAGGAGGAGAGGGAGGAGGAGGAGGAGGAGGAGGAGGAGGAGGAGGACAAGGGGGGAAGGAGGAGGAGGAGGAGGAAGCCGACGAGGAACAGGTGGAGGAGGGGAAAGAGGATGACGAAGAGGACGAGGACAAAGAGGAGGACTCAGTGGTCCGACTGACCCTTCCATCAAATTCCCCGCTATAATTTGCTTCCTTCTTCTCTAAAAGAATCACGAATGCATAACAGATGAATCGATGCAGGAGCTGATAAAAGTTGAGCGTCAACTTCCGTGAGACGCCCCCTCCCCCCTCGGTGTTCGCTCTATGTGTCGTTCCTGCACGTCCCTGATCAAGGCGACTCGCATAGGCATCGTTTCTGGTTGGGTTGGTGGGGATGCGCGAGACCTCAATCATATGGCCAGAGGAGGCTTCGTAAATGTTGAACACATGTACGCGGGCTCTGTGAATGTGCGCTGCGCGAAGGCGGGACCGAGCACTGCTTCCCATCCTTGTAAGTGTTGGACGTTGGAGGTCTAGGGCGAATGTGCGTGGCCTGGTGGCGTTAGTAACACCGACTCACAAACACACACACACACACATACAAACACTAACACTAACACTAACACTAACACTAACACTAAGACTAACACTAACACTAACACACACACACACACACACACACACACACACACAAACACACACACACACACGCACGCACGCACGCACGCACGCACGCACGCACGCACGCACGCGCACACACACACACACACACACACACACACACACACACACCACACACACACACACACACACACACACACACACACACACACACACACACACACACACACACACACACACACACACACACAACACACACACACACACACACACACACACACTAACACACACACACACACACACACACACACACACACACACACACACACACACACACACACGCACGCACATAGTTTGGCGTCGGAGCCACCACGCGTGCAGCAAAGCGGCGGAATCAGGCAAGCGGGAGTAACTAATCACACGCCGACACACACACACACACACACACATACACATTAACACTCTCGAAAGTCAGCGGGCAGGCGCC